GGAATGATTGTATCCTCTATCAGAAATGGCACTCAGCTCACTTGGTGTGTGAGTTTCCACAGGGCTGAGGCTGTAAAAAGAACAGGTGGAAGAAGTTGGCCTCCTGTCTCCGTCTGCTGTGCATACCTTTGCAGCTACCTCACTTCCAAGAAGCACCTTGTTCCAAATAGAGTCCTCCTCATCCAAACTTTCAGAACTCCCCTGGCTTATGTCGATGTCCGACCTCCTTGCTCAGGCGAGGTACATCCAAAATAGGTCTCATCCTCGTGCCTCACCGATAGAGTTCTTGGTTTCTGGAAAAAGCTGGTGTGTGAGGTGAGAACAAATGTTGTCCTGAAAAGAGCGTCTAACTCTATCAACGACAGCATCATTGCACGCTTTATCTGCAGTGCAAAGCCTCTCTTCTTGGGGAGTTAATGCAGCCCTCTCAGACTTCTCTATGTTCAGGATCCTGAACTCATCTGAGTTCTCCTCAGTATTAAAATACTTTTCAAAGATTCCAGAGAAGTTTTAAGAAATAACCAGCTCTGCATATAGACCTTCTGGAGTGAACAGATTGAAGGCCAGAGATTGGTTGAGTCGGTACTTCCAACACTGTAATCGCCATTCCTTTGTAAACACTTTCTAAATCGATGTAAGATGTTCAACAAAATGTGAGCCTTCTCTCAGTGAGATCAATTTGTGACTGAAAGATTATTCAGTAAGTGCAAACAGTGTAAGAAGAAAGATAGATGCATTCTCTATCTTGATCAAAAGCCCTCATTCAAAGCTTGTATAACATCAAATGTGTATACAAAGTGCAAAATCATCAAGCATATATTTAATAATTATATTATTTCAGTATTTATTCGTTATCATTTATGCATTTATTTATTTATACTTGTGTCAGTTTCCATGAGAAACGCTAGATGAAAAGTAACCAATTATTATATTTCAATCTAATAGTTGTTGGGATATTGTATTATGGACCAAACTGTCAAAATGCATTAATGAAACCGAGCAGTTCAGGAACCACGACTTGTTTCTCAGAATTGAAGGGGAAAACGTGACAAAAGCATTATACACACACTAAAACCTATCAATGTCGTTTAATTAACAAGGATAATCTGGTGTTTTTGAAGAGAAAAGCAAGCACACTCGGAATAATGTATTATTTAATTTTTTTATACAGTTTATGGTTGCTACAGAGGATTGTGGGTAATGTAATGTCTTCGGCCATCCAAAACTCATAGAAAACGACTTGTTTCTCAGAATTGAAGGGGAAAACGTGACAAAAGCATTGTACACACACTAAAACCTATCAATGTCGTTTAATTAACAAGGATACAGTAATCTGGTGTTTTTGAATTGATGAGTAGTGGAGATATCACTGTCAAATCAATCGACAGTAAGGGGAATACTTACTTCCGGGTGTACAATTCTCCGTTATCCAATGGGAATGGACGCTCACATTGCCTTTAACAGCCTCCGACACAAACGAATGCCGTGCTTCCCTGAGCGTCAAATACCGCCGCCGATGGGAATACATTGCAATCAGTTGAAAGCTCTTTGCGTCCGTTTATGAAGCTGAAGGAGCCTCGGTGCATCACAACTGGACGCCACGGGACCCTGACCAAGCGTCGCTCCTGGACGCTTAGGGAGTGAGAGTGTGTTGACCACACAGCCCTCATAAGCTGAAGGGGAAGTCATGGTATGAAATGGCTTTTTAACAGCTCTCAGGAGCATTACAAATACCAGAGATTCCCAACCTTGCTGACACATAATGATTTTGAATAAAACAATGTCTTTTAGAAATCAAAGGTCATGGCCTGGAATTTGACAAGCCTCAAGACATAAACTACCCAGTATATTGATGAAAAGAAAAGAAAATGATGACCCCCCCACATTTGTATTCATCTTTTAATCAGATTAATATGGCAGGTATGTAAGTGGAAACAGAAGTAAGGGGGCCACCATGTGGAGACATGGCGAAATGCAGAAAACCTATTTTATTTTATTAAAGATAAGAAAGAAAAACCTATTAATAAAAATATAAATATGCAAAATTAAAATATAAATATGCATAGTTAGATATCTAATATGGATTCATTTCTATTTTCTAACCATATTATTATTAATCACTTTTTTAAAGTATTGCATGATATACTTATATTTTATTGTGGCCAGTAAACACAATTTAAGTAAGACCGGTGACATACAGTACAGTATGTATATCCTCATCCCAAGGCATTCCTTTACTTGCCATATTATTCAATTTAATATGAAGGTTTAATAGAATGTGAAACCTTTATTTACTCATTAGAAATGTATGAAAGTGGCTCTCTGTTGCACTAACTGTAATTAAACACACTCAGAGGGCAAAGTCAAGATTACAGCACTGCACTTACTATATGAGCTGCTGCTACTTTGTGACTTTAGGTTTCTTTTCATTGGGGCGCACCGTGTTGTGTGACAGTAAAAATGTGTCACGTTTGTTGCTTGGCAGCCAGAGGGCTCTTTTATGAATGAATCAATTACATTTGTATTCAGCCTGCCTCCCCTATAGACTCACTGAGGTCCAATAGTTTTGTTCTGCTCCTGAGCTCTTTCACATTCTTTCATAGTCTTCAAGGCACATTGTCTGCTTCGGCCTTAATGGGCCTATGAAACTGTCTCCACAAATTCCATTAATGCTATTCAGTTGCGGTGCCTATTGACTCCACTGTCAATAGCAGTAAACCTATCAAGGGCAGGAGGTGTGATTAATTTGCAGGCTGATATATAACGGCCAAGGAGAAAAGTCTCTACATTTGCGATAAGATGAGCTATGTCTGCACTCACACAAAGGGATTGATTGAGATATACACTTTATAACTCCAGCAGAAAACCATGCAATTTGTTGCATTTGATTCCTTTGTTTTTTTTATTTAAAGTGGACCAATCATGCTATATTTAAATGATATATTGTAGGGCCATACCTATATAAGGTATATTTATACGTTTCTGTTTTCAAAATACCAAACAGATCATGCATTTTAGCCATGCCTCATTTCGCTCTATGTGCTGTTTGCTGTCTACGGGTCTGATTCTGCTGACCACGCCCCCCTGCAGGAGAGGGGAGACGTGCTCTGATCAGCTGCTGGGCTGTCAGAAGAGGGGGAGAAAAAGAGATCTCCGTCCTCCGTGTTTTATTATATAGAGTCATTATTCATTTGTTTTAAAGCTCAATAAATAACAAAGAAGACCTTTGACCGGCACTTCTAATTTTGTCCGGAAGATTTAAACTTTAACGGACATCTTGACCGGCGAAACAAACTGAAACTGAAACTCTGCCGCACAGTCCCCTCGTTCCTTCAAAGAGGCGGAGAGGTGGGTGTTTGTCATCTGCTGGTGGACTAACCGGAGAGAATTACAGTGCTTGCCTTGACGGGGAGGGATTGCATTGAATTAAAGCAGCGGGAGCAAACGCTTGCCTCGGGGAGGGAGAAAAAAAGCCACAGCGGAGAATAAACAGAAGGGTAACTATGGTAACTATGGGCGGGAAGTCTTCTTCGCTGCTTTTGTGGCAGACTACAGCGCCACTTACAGGCCTGGCATATGTACTACAGCGTCCCCAGCGCTTTCGAGCGGCAATGGCCGGCCGTGGCCCAACCCCACATTCCCCTGATAGGTGGAGAGTTGGCGCCACCGTCCTGACGTCAGGACAGTGTTCAAATCTGGATCAGTTTTGATCAGATCCGTTGCAGCCCCTTTTTTAGAGATTTGGGTATGGAGGAAAATAGAGAGGGTTGTGTTTTCTGACACTTGGTGAGTTCCCTGGAACACCGGGGACACATATTCATGTATAAAAGACGTACAAAAGTGCATTTTGCATGATAGGTCCCCTTTAAGGGAGTATGACAAACAACTGGAATTGGACATTATATTAACATTATCGTAGAATCAAAAGGCCTTGGGGATTTCTCAGTTTGTTTTACTTTATTTCCTGGCTTAACATTTTGCTTAAGTGTTCTAGTTAAAAATATATATAATTGTATACACTTTATTATTAATATGATCTTTAAAATAATTCCTAATTGATTAATTACTCATCATGATGTATTGTGTGTGTTGATTTGAAAAATGTAAAAAAAAGATCAACCTCATTTCACATGCTTCTTACTACAATGTAGTAGCAGGGGCGGATCTAGAAAAAATATTCATGGGGTGGCAAGAGGGTGGTAGGAACATTTGAGGGGTGGCATCCACTGGCAGAAGTATATGCTGATTTAATCACAGTCATATCAATCAATGTTAACTTGGAAAGCCACAATATGTATATTTTAACTCAATAACATTAGGTGACATTATTGTGGCTCATCAGTAAAGCTATAGAAATATATAAGGTGGCAGACATAATTGAATGAATTTTAACTGAACAATAACTGAATGAGTTTGTTTCACTCTTAGACGGGTACCAAATGCAGACTGCTGCAATAAGTACATTGGTGCGGCGCCACACTAACTGCGCATAAACGCATACAGTAGGTGCGCTGTATTTGCGGCTCAGTTGAGGCTCCCTCCGCAAGATGAGGCCCCCTCCGCGAGGTGAGGCCCCGCGCAGTCTGCATGATCTTCCTGTAGGGAGGGACGGCCCTGTGTTACCTTGTTATGGCTATATTATATTGGGCTATAATTACTAATCTCAGTGTTCGTGTTTGCTGGAAAATATTGTAACAACCTTTTCAGACACAATATTGTTGTTGGTTTTAAATTCCAATTCCAATCATAGCAATATGCATGTGGGGTCATTCCACAGTGCTGATTAAATGATACTGATTGTTAAAAAGATGACAAGATGATAGTCAGTGTTTGGATGTAAAAAAAAGAAGAAGCAAACTGCTCCTGAGGCAGCTGACCAATAGAGGGGGCAATTGCTGCAAAAACCGAGTCAGAAAGCCTATATTATTTAACATAGTTTTTACTTTTGAAAGGTATGAAACAAAAAAACTATAAAATGAATATACTGTACATGTTTTTGCCATTGTTATTGATCTTTATTTAATGTTGGACTTTAATCAAGCTTTAGATTTTGGAACTGTCTTTACCCATAATTCTACGGGAGATGTAAACAGGGCATATAATGTTGCAAGCTGTGGGCTACAACTTCAGCCACATTCTTTGTTAATATTTAGGCATTTTTCCATTGAAAATATTTTTGAAATTCCCCTTGTGACACAACCAATTAGCTGTTTTTTACAGGTAAAAAGTTAGATTTTTTTAAATCCCCACAACAAATGTATTTACATAATCTTCTAAATAGTTCCCATATTATGTGATAAATGGATTCCTTGCTATGTAAATAAATGAATCAATCAACCAAATATTATTATTTACACAGATTATTTACTGTCCTCCAATATTTTACATCCATCTTACAATGTATTGTCTATCATGTCAACATGTAGCGCAAATGTACCATTACAACTGATCAATGATCAACCGGTTCCAGACAATCAGAGCTTGAGTCTGTCCAAGCCCAGATTGTGTCTGTGGGGGCCGGGGCAGGAGCTGGCTGCTGGGGCAGATCTGATAGGAGCAGGCTGATCCACGACAGTCCCAAGGGAGCCCCGGGGCCTGGACACAGTGACGTCTGAGCTGGGTGTGATTGAATGCATGTGCTCGTGGGGGTGCAGGTGTGTATGGTTGTCGTGCTGATGCCCACCGTGCACACCGTCAGATTTTGCATGGGCCTGCTCCGCCACAACTGCAGCCTACAGGGGAGGAGAACAGAGACAGAGAAAAGTATGGATTACTATTTCAGTTTCTACTGTTCTTAGGAACATAATAGGCAAAAATGTTGATGAGACCCCATAGACTCAATAACTGGACAATAACTTGGTTGCTTTTTCAAACAGTTTAAAGCTCCCCTATTCTGCTATATTTGAACAATATATTATAGGGCCATATCTATACAAAACATGTCTCTGAAGTGTTTTGCTCAAAATACCAAACAGATTTCCCATATCCCTCTATTACCATACCCCGCTGATTCTGTATCAATAACATTAAGAAACACTCAAGCTTTCATGAATCAAAAAGCCAAACAAAAGGCCAGATGGGTTAGAAGAATTTGTTAATTTGTTATGTCCTGTCTAAGTCATGTTGTCCACATGTGGATCACTGCAGTTAAAGCAGGTACCTGAGGTTCGTAGATCTCACATGTCACGTCGACAGGCTTCCGGTTCTTAAATGAGCTGTTCTTCTTTCCCCCAGAGAGTCTGAATTCAAACTGTTCCTCATGGTCCAAGTGTGAGCCCAAACAGAAGCCTCTATGCTGAGAGAGAAGAAATCAAGAACAGTTGCAGTCGCAGCATGACAGGACTCCAATAGAGTCCAAGAGTAAGTACAGCACATCATGAATGTAGTCACTCTTAATAAGTGTGTGTGTGAGACTCACTGCAAACTGACAGTCCATCGGTGGACAGTGACCTAATTCACTGGCATCTGTTGTCTTTGAACACACCGTCTCCACAATGGTGAACTCCACAAAATAGGCTGGACCAACAACCCACTGACAAAGCACACAAAGACATGATGCTTACACATTCACACAAACTTACTTAGGGAAACGTTACAAATCATTAGCCTATAATGCAAGCTTCATTATACAATATTGCACATTTCAGAATAAAATACATCATAATATTGGATTAGAATTATTCATACATTCATATGTTCATTACTTTCATCTGATGAAATGTGTCTTTTTTTAATGTTTAAAATTACATTTGCCTATTTACTGCTCATCAAATAAATGTAGCCATAACAGTGTCAATGTTTCCTTCTGAAATGCAGTGGAGAATTGTATAAAGTAGAAAAACATGTACCTAATAACAGTATTTGAGTATATATACTTAGTTACTTTACACCACTGCTACACGCACATGTTTAAGTTTACTACACACATGATAACTAGTTACATAAATAAAAATGGAAAGTACATTGGAAGTTAGTTAAGTCAAGATTTCTAAACGTTCTCAGTTAAAATAGTTGCACATATAACTACGAAACTCATCCCTGATGCTTTTATAAGTAACTTGATTATTTAGTTGCTGTTTTTATTTACCTGTGAACTAGCTCTTGTAATGTTCTCCAGTGTAAAGTAGTTGGCCAGGCTACTCTCTTCATTGAACCTCTGCAGAGAGAGATTGGCTGTCTCCTTGACGACGGGCTCATTCAGGTTGTCCGCTGTGGGACAGTCCGGACAAACACTAACCACTGCAGTGGGGGGAACTAAACGTCAAAGAACAATGAAAAGTGGAGAAAGTGTTTGTTGAGAATGTAACCCAGGCCCTTTGTACAGTTACTAACCTCCATTCAACCTATATAGAGAAATACTTCAATGTATGTCAGTATCATCAATTATTCAAACTTAAACTTAAAACTATATAACAAAATGAAAGCACTATAAAAAATGAACTGGCAAAATACCTAATCAGTCTTAATGTTTCTGTTGATCTACCTTTACGAATTGCACAGGAGTAGCTTTGAAGTTTGACTTCAGCGTCAAAGGTGGCAGATAGCTCACACTCTCCATACACCTAAAGGAAACACCCAAAAACAGATTCAGTATAGATGCTGTATACATACAGTACATATAACCAAACTGGTTAGGTCAACATAGGCAACAAATGCAGGTTTTACAGAAAGTATATCTCTGGCATAAGTATTAAATCATACTTGAAAAGCAGATTGAGTTTTTGATAGGCTTTTGGGTTGAGGTTACGATTGAACCATTTTTTTTTTTTGCTTCAAAGCTGTTCAAACGTTTGTAATGGTAAGGAAAGGAGTCTTAATGCTTCCTCTCTTATCTCCTTTACTATATGTTACATTTGACGGTCCTGTAACAAAGTAAAGGAGATAATGCATAAATAACAACAGCTGTCACTTCATATTTGTACCTGTAAAATGAAAGTATTTCCGTTTACAGGTTGAGTTTGGTTTTGGACAGAATCCTTAGTTGAATTTAACAGCATTCAATTTGTCACTTCAATAATTTGCTATGTGTCACAGATTAAGTTATTTAAAAAAATATTTATGGTTGCATAATTCTGTAGCATACTGTAAGAGCAAATTGATTCTCTCGGCACTGAATCTTTTCAAATACTTTTGTCCTTTCAAGAAATAATGATAAGTTTCCTCAAGTTCAAGTAATAGTCGTTAAAGGTCCCATGTCATGCTTTTCCGGTTATTACCCGTCCCCTTGTGTGTTATGAAGGTTTTTATGCATGTGAACGGTCTGCAGAGTCAAAAACCCTCAAAGTACACCCTGTAGCGAGTAAAACTCTAACACAGAAAAGACCTGTCTATGCTGCCCCAGAACGCCTCGTTGGAGATTTCTCTTTTTCCATTTGTTTCTTCCGGGAACCGTATGACATCATGCGGTCCAATGTGAGTTTGGAAAATTGCACAATATAAATCTATTTTAGTAGACCTCAACAATGGAATTATGATCAGTAGAAATGGCCATGAGTAAATACATAATTATTTCAAGTATTGAATCGCTACTTTGTTTTGGTGGGCCTCACAAAAAGAAAACCCTCAATGTGTTGATCTGACAGATTGAGGACATCACCGTGTGGTACTTACAGGGACATCTCCAATATCCCTGACTTCACATTGTTTCCATGGTTTCCTGCTGGTGATGTGCCATTTGGTCTCCATGACATCAATGGTCAGTTTGTAGAGTGACACACCTTTCTCCTGCAAACACACGGACACACATACAAATACTTATTGTAGTTTTCCTGTTATTTTAAGGTTGCTGGTCTACCTTCTTTCTACCAGTACTGTTGCATCTCTACATGTGTTTTTTTTGTGTGCAGATGTGAATGTTCACCCTCACCTTTTCAGGAGTTTGGTTGAGGTCGTACAGTCTGTTAAGGCTCAGGATGTATCCGTTAGTCCGGTCCTGGTTGATCTGCTCCAGTGCCTCTTCCGCCACCCTCACCGCCTCAGGGTTAATGCAGCCTGGGGGATCTGCCCTGGCTTTTCCCCCCTGCTGCAGCAAAGCCAGACATAGGACCAGCAGGTACCCACTCATCATTTAAAACACATACACACACACACACACACACAGATTTGGCCACACAAAAACCCTAATCGAATTAGTGAATCCTATCCTGGTAGGTAATTTAACATTTAGGCTAACACAGGCCCTTGTTTGTAAATCTTCCTTGCAAGACCTGTAATCCTACTTTTTCCAGACAGGGTTTGGACAGACACTTGGGAGGCGCAGAATGGACTTTCCCCTCTTACCTAATAGATGAGCAAACAGCTGCTATCTGCTGCTCCATAGGCCAATGGCTGGCTCAGACTGACGGAAGGGTCATAGTGCACTGGGGAACAGGCTAAATGAAACCAATGAATGAAAAGCTCCTACACCTAGTTTAATTTCTTTATTGTGATGCTATCATTGTAGACAATTCCAGAGAGCCTAATGAACACCACTGAAAATGTACAGTATGTTTTGGTTTTCAAGTACACAATGAAAGGTTTGTAGCTAGCTTTTTAGTATGGCAGATGCTGTAATCTTGGACTCAGCTAAATAACTTCTAGAAATGGTGAAAAGAAGGATAAAATGTAGACAAAATTTAACTAAGAAACCCCAGTAAATCCTTTTGGTTTCTAGCGCAGTTGGCTGTTTACAGTTGTCGGAATTAGCTCTCACAATAAGGCTAAACCATTGTTCACTTTTACGGGTTATTTTTTTTTTTTTCTCCCTGTGTTTAATTTAGTCAGAAAACATCCACTTAGCATTTAGCTTACAAGCAGCAAAATACTGGAAAATAATAGGGTATAAACTGTACACAATTGGTTTCTTCCATATGTTTTTTTTGTAAGAAGATCATCTTGTTGGCTGTGTCTTTTGACAACGTTTGGCAAAATATAGAATTTGGGATGAGCATATCAGAACAACAATGTACCATACAGTAGGAGGTTTCCAGGGATGTATTGAGACTTCCAGTCTTTGGGGAAATTGTCAAAAAATACAAAACACAAGCTTTTGCTGCTATCTTCTCCGCATAACCTTTAAGTAGTAATGTTTAGTAGACTTGAGAACAGCACACACTCTATAAAATAAATGATGACCACTTATTGGTAGTGAAGTTCAACTTTATTTTCTAAATTGGAAAATTAGGTTTGCATCAATTGTAAGAACAAAGCATAAAATCGCAGAAAACACAAGATTACATTACATGTTACTTGTTAGACGCTTTTATTCAAAGCGAGTTACATACTCAATACTGTGGACAATCCCTACAGGAGCAATTTGGGGTGTAGTGTCTTGCCCAGGGACACAACAGGCTTGTTTGAGACAAGCGAGATCTGCGCAGACCTGCGCAATTGCGATCAACGTCTTGCTCGTGCGTTGCATGATGGTTAGTCATTTTGTCCGACTTGCTCTGGAGGCTCGCCTACATGAGACGTTGAAATCTCGCGGGACAAAGACGCCCGCAGACTTGAGAGCGAGGCACGGCGAGGCGGCGCAGTTTCTCTCCCCGGGCTGCGGAAGCGAAATGCTTGATGGGAAACGACTCGCTGGTATCTCGAGCTGAGCGCTCATTGGTGGGTTTTACCCCGTGCTGGAGATGAAACTCTCCATTGGCTCGGCAAAAGTGTGTTGTTGTTTTGTGTCAGTTTTACGTCGCCACTTCCATTCACATTTTTCATCATTGTTCCACAATGTTTATCATCATGACATTAATATCTATATATTTTATACTATACTTGCACTGCTTACCGTTGTCATACTTTATATATCTTAGCATATTCATAGAACACACTGTTCATACTAGGCTAGGCTACTGTGTATATAGTGTATTCATACCCCTCACTGTTTATTCATCATTCAATTCATTCTATATTTTATTCTGTAGATTGTGTACATTACTTTTCACTTTACTGCTTTATGCACTCCTGGTTAGAAGCTAAACTGCATTTCGTTGTCTCAGTACCTGTAATATGTGCAATAACAATAAAGTTGAATCTAATCTTGAGCAGGAACAAATGTATTTACTTAGTACATATCTGACATTAACGATTAAACACATTTGTCCATTCTTTATCAATCAATCAATCAATGTTTATTTATATAGCCCAATATCACAAATGTTACATTTGTCTCAGTGGACTTCACAGTTTGTACAGAATATCAGTATGACAATATGACACCCTCTGTCCTTACGTTTCACATCATACAAGGAAAAACTTCCAGAGAAAAACCCACAGTTTAAAGGGGAAATGGGAGAAACCTCAGGGAGAGCAACAGAGGAGGGATCCCTCTCCCAGGACGGACAGACGTGCAATAGATGCCGTGTGCATTTATAAATGCAAACCGAGTCAAGCCGACTCCGGAGGTGGCGGTATGCACCTTAAAGTTGTTTGAAATCCGCCAAAAAACCGAGAGAAGAAGAAGAAGCCGACTCCGAGCTGTCCGACTTCAGGCGAGTTTTTTTAGACCTCCCCCGGCTGCGATCGGCTATTCTCGTCTACTTTCGAGGCGAGCCGCAGCTCGTCTCAAACAAGCCTAATGACATGCTGACTGCAGTGGGGTTTGAACCTGTGACCCCCTGATCCGAACACCTACGGACAACCCACTACGCCACACGCCCCCCAGATCCCAAAGAACTGGGAATTACAAAATGTGTTATTTGTTAAGCGTGGGTTGTGTTTAAGGTCTAGAGAACACTGATAAGAGCTGTTTGCAGATTGTGTAAAGCTGATTTAGGCAGTACGTACATGTCTGCAGATAACTGAGTGACCTAGTTTAGTTTACCGTTTTACTTAATGTGTTTTGTGAAAGCTACAAAAAGTTAACAAATATTTCTGTCTCTGATGTTGTTTTTCTACTAGCAGGATCTCATAGGACTTTAGCATCCAGTCTGCACCCAATATGTATGATCTTTTTGGAATTCCTTAATATTTTAGACAATTTTCATAGAATGGTTTATCAACATCCTCCAAATAGCCTATTCCATGTATACAGCCCTCATTTTCATTTTTTATCTGCAACCAATGACATACAAAATGCAGTATAACAGTATTTAGACATTTAAAAAAAGAGCACTCTGTTGACTGAAGGTCTGCACTTTATCACTGCTTATCTAATGTTGCTTGTTCTTATAGATGTTGTGCTTCAGCTCAACTTAGTTCAGACTGACAATTCAAACTTTATCTCATACGTTAAACAAAATATCACTGTTAACAGTTCTAAATATGTGGCATACTGTACATGATTTAAGTCACACATATACTTGGTTATTATCAGAATGCCTCCTAAAAAATATATTTTAATGCATTTTTTTCTTCAGGCCTTTATTGAAGAGAAAGAGTTGAAAGGGCGAGACATAGGGGATGACATGCAGAAAATTGTCCCAGGCCGGATTCAAACCTCAGTCCTCTGCACGGGGAGCAAACTCCAGTAAATAGGCCGCCAGCACGTGAACTATACGGCAGCCCTATTTTCACTTATTTTGATGTACTTCAGTAAATTTGAGCAAATTAACAAAATAGCCACCATGGGCAGCTAGTCACATAGCCAAAAACATTTTAGGATTATTTCATGCTGTTTCGTTTGACGCCATTGACAGTGAGAGATCAGTGACAGGAAACACAGCAATGCTGGGGGTTGGTGCACTGAGTCATCACAACATGGATTAACTTGGTCTTAAACAATACAAAAAACAAACACTGGATGGTTATTTGTGGAAGCATTTATTATGTTGTGCAGCCAAACACTGATATCAGTATAATGTTATGTTTACCGGTTTGGTTAAACAGCGACTAATTATGAATGGGCCGACTTATGCGGATCTTTTGAACTGGGGGTCCTCAGCGAAGAGTTTCTCCGCCAGGGTTGTTCCAGCTGCTGCAGGGACGCACTGAGCCGAGAATGCGGTGGGGTAGGCCTCGATGGTGGGCTCTGATTGTCCGGGGATCTGGGGGTCGGGCTTGAGGTTCAGGGTGACTCCCACCTCACCAGGGGGGACTTCGGGGAAAATAGGCAGGATCATGGGCTGGTCCACTGCGGGAATCATCTTCACCATGCCCTCTGGGTGGTCGTGGGATGCATTCTCGTGCTCGTGTTCGTGGTGATGGTGGTGGTGCTCGTGCTCGTGCAGGTGGGGGTGCTTGTGGTCGTGATCCAGAGCCACCTCGTGGTCGTGCTCGTGGGTGTGCTCGCTGTCGGCGTGCTTGTAGTTGTGGTGCTGGTTGGGCACATCGTCACTATGGTTGTGCGCCTTGCTGTGGTGAGTGTGCACGTGATCGTGGCCGTGCCCGTGGTCGTGGGAGTGGGCGTGAGCGTGCCTGTGGCCGCCGTGGTCGTGTTCGTGGTCGTGCGTGTGGTGGTGGTCGCTGTTGTCTGCGTGCTGCTTGGTTTTGTCGTGATTGTCGTGGCTCTTGGTGTGGTCGTGAGCGTGGTCGTGTGTGTGTGCGTCGTCGACGGCATGTGCGTGGTCATGGTCGTGGCTGTGTGGATGTTTGTCTGTGTGGCTGTGGTCGGTCTCTCCGCCGAGATGGTGGTGTTTCTTCTCTCTGTCAGCAGCCTTGAGAACACGTAAAAGATAAAATGAGTAATATTGGGGACATAGAAAAAGTGGTAAGTCAATTGGTGCAATTTAAGCTATATTCATATATTGTACAGTACATACTGTTTTTTTGCTGTATTTTTCACATTTTATCGGAATTTTCTTCAACTTTGTCTTCTAAAGACCAAACATTAAGTTCATAACGGGAATTCAGAGCTGTATTTTGATTCAAATTGTGAAGCAGAATTTGCATTTCAGTACAACTTACATCTTATTTGTGTAGGTTAAGTCATTGTGTCCATATGATATAATTGTTATCACTAGATAATTGCTATAGTCATAATTTTAAATAATATGATGTTATTATATAATTGAATGCCAAAACTATGAAAATCAGTTGTAATAATCTCATGCTACTGCTGGCTAGTGCTCCAACACATCGGACATGATAGGCTAACAGGTAAGCAGTTGACCCATCATCACAGCGCTGGTCAGTGTACCAATCAGAGCAGACTGGGCTCTGGTTTCAGACAGATATAGAAATAAAGACCCTTTTAAACATTAAATAAGAATATAAACCTGAAAATGAGCATAATAGGTCCCCTTTAAATCAAATAATCCATGCGTGCATTTCCTTTAGAAAGAAAGACTTTATAAAATGAAATCAATGTGACACTTTGTATTTGG